ATTTGGAAAAGTCTTTTCCAGAACAATATCACATTAGATAGTTCAGTTAATGAAATGTAAAAGATTATTTGTATTCTCATTATTAATCAACATTCTATTTAATGTGGGATTACAATTTTTTTTTTTTAACGAGAAAAGGTATCCAAATGACTGTGTGGGTGCTAAGTGTTTGTTTGATAATAAGTCTTTTCCAGGTGTATTGTGAAAGCTGTGATCACTGCTGTGGCAGCCTGAGAAAGCACCTGTCATCCCCAGGAGGGCGCATGCGGACAAGGCCCGCCCAGCTGCTGCGCTCTGAAATCTATTGCTGCTTCTCAACCACTGATCTTGAGAGGGAGTTTATGGCTTCTTGACTTTGGCTTGACTCCCTCACAGCCTTGCCAGACTCCCTTAGCATTACAATAAAGTTTAAGTTGCTTTCACCCAGGCTTCTGCCTCCTTTCATTCACCTGGGGTCAGGCCTGCCTGAGATCTGGTTGCCTCCCAGCCTCCGACCAACCCTAGCTCCCTCCTGGTTTTTCCTCGCCTGCATTGCCCCTATTTAATCCTTGACACGGCTGAGCCCTTCTTGGTCTTGGTGTCTGCTTTTTGAAGGACCCGGACTAACAGTGGACCAGGGTGAGAGCTGAGGAAACAGTTTAATAGGAGATTAGGAAGTGGCTCATCTCCCACCCGAAGGGGAAAGAGGATGACGTCCTGGTCTGTATCTAGGATACATGCATTGCTTGGCACAGGTCATGGCCCAGTTACCGAATATTTCACAGATGGTGTGCAGAGAAGAGTTAACATAACAGGCCTGAACCTGTTATCCTTACAAAGACCTGTTCGCAAGGTCATCTTTGGCTAATGTCCAGCAATGAGGATTTTAGGAGTGTTTCCCCCATTTCTTAGCTGATAAGAGTTATTTACTGTGTCTGAGATGTTTGTACAAACAATAGGGTTTATGTTGAACCCTTGTTTTCCTTCTGGGAATCTGAGATTTTGGTGATGTGCCAGCAGAGTGCACCTATGTGACTGAGCCCCATAAGAACCCTGCCTCCCACGCCCAGGCTCGGGCCAGCTTCCCTGAAGGCCGTCCTTTGTACATGTCACAGGTCATTGCGGGAGGAGTTAAGCTCGTCCTGTGCGACTACGGGGACAAGACTCGGTGCTTGGGCCTGGCTTCCTCTGGTTTGTTCATGTACCTTTTCCCTGGGCTGATTCTGTTTGATGTTCTCTAATAAGTCATACTTGTGAGGACACTTCTGTGCTTAGTCCTATGGTTTTTTCTAGCAAATGACTCAATCTGAGGATGGTCTTGGACACTGAGGATGGTCCAGACACAAGTGGTAACTTGGGCAAATGTCCTCATGGAGAGGAATTCTCTAGAAGTTCAATGACACATGCATTTGCTAATATGGGGAGAACAATGCCTACAAGATTAGCAACATTGGTTGGTTACTGCTGGGTTGTGTTGATGACCTGCAGAAGGATAATGAGACTGAGGGTTGTTAACAAGCGGTTAGTGCTGAAATAGGAGAGCCAGCGGACCTCTGGGAAGCTTACAAGGAGGTCTGGGTTGAAACAGCTGAGCTTCAGGCTGGCCATCTCATCGTTACGGCCCTGGTAGAGAAAACCTTGGGGACATGGTGCCATGGGGACATCTGGATGGATACCCCTGAGGATGTTGACTCTGCAGTGCCTACACCCTTGGTCTTACAGAAGTACCCCACCTCTTCCCTAATGAGTCACCTCTGTTAGGTTAGAAGGTGCTAGAGATGCTGCTACCCAACCCCCACCACCTCGCAGACAACTGTCCCCACTACTCTTGGCTGCAAGGTTTATAGCCAGGATTAAATTCTAGCAAAACCTGGCTGTGGATGTGCAAGGGAGAAGACTGGACACCCAAAATGTAAGCATTATGTAAGTATATTCTGGCAGGGGTTGGGCAAGCCTTACTGGGATTTTGAGAGAGCTTGATCAAGGACTAAATTCTCCAACTAAAAGAAAAAATTCAAGTTGATAAAAATAATCCAGCAACAAGTTGTTTATAAGGAACACACCTAAAACATAAAGACACAGTTTGAAAGTAAAGAACCAAGATGGCAGCATAGGTAAACACCTGTACTCACCGCTTCCCATAACCACATCAAAATTACAATTAAAATACAGAACAACCATCATTCAGAACCGCCTGAAAGCTGGCTGAATGAAAGTCCTACAACTAGAGAAGTAAAGAAGAAAGCACACTGAGACTGGTAGGACGTGCGAAGGCGCAGAACGGGCTGTTCAGGCATCCCTGTGGGCTGTTTTTCAAATCAGGAGGGAGAGCACCTCTGTGGAGGCTGCCAGAGAGGACAAAGGGTCTCAGTCCCATACCAGACCCATAGCCCAGGGTCTCAGAGCTGGGGAAGAGAAGTCCCCACAACCACAGGCTGTAAAAGCCAGTGAGGATTGTGGCTGAGTGACTAGAAGGTGGCTGGAATCCCAGGTATTCCTCTTCAAGGGCCCACATACAAACTTACATGGTCTGGCTTCCTCTGAGCTCCAGGACTGGGGGACTCAGACACATACAGCATTGGGGCAGGAACTTGGGGCAGCTTTCTCCAAGACGGGGGTGCTTGCAGGGGTCATTGTTTCTGTGCTGGGACCTTCCATTTCTCGGGGCTGACTGGCAGCCATATCAGCATGGCCCACACTGTTTGCTCCGCCCTGGGGATTACTTGAGACTCCACCCCATCCAATTTGCAGCCCCACCCAAGCTGTTTGAAGCAGGTGTTCCATATGAATGGCCTGTTCTGGCTCAGGCTTCAGAGCTAAAATTTCTCAAACAAGCTGCAGCTGGTGACAGTGTGCCCCAAACCTATCAATAAAAGCCCCAAGACCCAGCACTAGCACCAGCCTGCCTTGCTTCACAGCTGGGCCTCGTCTGGGCACTTCCAAGCCCAATACAAATAGCAAATAGCAACCCTCTGCAGATCCCTCTGTAGCACCTGTGAGGTGGCCCCAGCCAGTGGCAAACTTTGTACCATCCTGGAGGCCCTAGAGCCAGTGTACCCGGTGAACAGCCTCAGACCATGCCAGATTACAACTCTACACATCCATAAGTGGCAAACTCAAGAGGCAGACTCAGTGAGCACCAAAGCTCCACCGAAACAAGTCCTGCTCCATAGGGGTGTCTCCTGCACAGCAGTTCTCCCACTGTAGTCACAGCTGGTCCTCACAGCCAATTGGCCTGGAGGTCAACTCCTCCCAGTGATGCCAACAGCAATTAAGGTTCAACTACAAGACTGTGCACCCAGGGGTGCACCCAGAGTGCCCAGCTCTGGGTTCAATTCCCAGTCAGGGCACATACCTAGATTGAGGATTTGGTCTGGGAGCATACAGGGGGCAACAGATGAATGTTTCTCTCTCTCCCTTCATCTCTCTTTAAAATCAATAAAACATAACCTCAGGTGAGGATAAAAAAAATCTGGCTTGTAAATAGGAAGGTAGATTAATGAACTATAAGAAGGGAAATTAGATATACAAAATATAAAACAGACAAAAACTTGGATTCTATGGCTTTGGAAAGGTAAAATTTGCAATTTGGTAAAGTGACAGTAGGGGGCAGCAGATTCCAAATGTGATATTTCTGTCTATTAGAGCTGAAAGGCTTTATGAAGATTATCAAATATAATACTCTGTCCTCGTATGCAATACATGTGTTCAAATGTTTACTTGTGGCCTCATGTGTAACACACGTGTTCAGTAGAAAAAAATACTCCATTATGAGGATGAATAAGCTGAGGACTAGAAAATTTATATTATTTGTGGAGGGACACAGGTAGTGTCAGAGCCGGGACTCAAATCCCACTCTTGATTCTACTTTTTTTAAAAAAATATTTTTATTGATTTCAGAGAGGAAGTGAGAGGGAGCGAGAGATAGAAACACAAATGATGAAAGAGAATCATTGGTCGGCTGCCTCCTGCACACCCCACACTGGGGATCAAGCCCACAACCCGGGCATGTGCCCTGACCAGGAATCAAACCATGACCTACTGGTTCATAGGTAGACACTCAACCACTGAGCCATGCCAGCTGGGCTTGATTCTACTTTAATTGGCCACTTTCAAAGAGGAAATATAGATGAAATTGTCAGCTTTTCAATCTTTTTCCTCAATAATTATATTTCTTTTTTCTTAAATGACAAGATTTGATGGAACCTAGGATTGATTCAGTTTTGATTTTCAGAAATGAAGGTTATGGTTGAGCTGGGTTTAAACTGCACTAGAAATAGTTTTTCTGTAGTTGAGTGTTAGAATGCCAGAACTGAAGTTACATTGTAGGTTCTTAGATCCTGGAGACTATAGCATTCCAATCCTTCCAACCCTACACACACACACACACACACACACACACACGACCTCTTCCTGTGTACACACAGTCCCCATATTCTTTAGGAAGCAAAGCTGCAACAAGGATATTGGTGACGTCAGAGGAAGATGTAAATCTCACTAGGGGCCTCCCTAGGGTTATCCTTGCCATTGTTTAAGGCAGTTTTACTTCCACCTGGGGCTGTAACAAATGGGTTTCGAGCTTCTGAGGCAGAAAAATAGGAGAACTAAAGAAAAATTAAAAATGGATTTTTTTTTCAGGGGGAAGACAAAATAAACTGCCAGCTACTGGTAAACTAATCATGAACCAGTAGAGTAAAAGCATGTTCAAAATAAGAAATAAGGGAGAAAAGCCTCCCTCTTTTCCCACTGTAAACCTTTCCCACTCCTTGCTGCCTTGGAGCCTCTCTCTGCCAAAACGCAAGTGATGTGGCTGATTCCACTGCGGTAGCAGGCAAGCTCTTGACTGGCCTCTGCTTGTGCTAATCTGGTCGTCTTCGCTGATTCCCACAACTCGCCCCGCCTTCAGCTATTGTGTGGCCGATCGGAGTTTGGAACCAAGACCCATCTGACCCAAGCCCATGCTTCTTGCACTGTGCCACTTGTCTGTTTTGGGAGCCTGAGCCACAAGTAGACACCAATGAGAGGCATAGGCCTTTGATTTGGCATAGTTTATTATATTAGTATGCATATAAAACCATGTAAATGCCACGAAGTATCCCATTTATGCTCCAAAATAACCAACAGATAGTCTGTGACGTTCCAGCACCCTCGCTATTATAATATTTATATTTTTCACAGAAAGTTATAATCATACAGGTAAGATTATAATACATTATTTAGAGAAAGGATGTTTTTGGGTCCACAAGTGTAGATAAAAACAAACAAACATACATATTTTCCTCTTTGGCAAAAGAGGTGAAATCCTCCACAGTGATCTCACGAAGCAAACTCAAATAAAAGCCACTGGAGATGAGGTACAGCTGAGGTCTGGGCTCATGGGGAATTAGACACGTACTTCGGAAAAGTGTTCCTTACAAAATCAGTTCAGTTCCCAACCACCTCAGCATAACGAGGTTTACTTAGATTCGGCCTCGGTCACTTCTGTAAGAACACACAGAGTACAATGTGCTCTTTCTGGAAAAGAGAAAAAAGGCATGAAGAGTGTGGGTGTCTGGCCTCAGCAATATTTTTACTCTGAGGTACAAAAGCACCCGACACAGTGATTCAGACGGGAATTGCTGTGCCACCTTCATTTCGTTGGGAGAGCCAGCCCTCTGGGTTGCTGCTAGTCTCAGCATCTGGCTTTGCAGGTAGTTTGTAAAGGTGGATGTGCATGTGAAAGCCAGCCTCTGCCAGGTCTGACCTGAGGAAGAAGCAGAGTGTGATGAAGGCCAGTTCCTCTGGGATGCAGGTATCTGGGGCAGGGCAGGGAGGTCCCCTGAGGCAGAGGCCTGCCCAGTGCAGGCCCAGACCCGCCACTGCACATCCCCACCTGAACCCAAATCTAAAGGACCAGCAGTTGCTGAGGTGGTTGTGTGTGTGTGTGTGTGTGTGTGTAATCTACAATCATAATTGTTAACAACCACCCTGGTGTGCTTTTCATGCTTCAAGTAATTTAATTCCTTCCAGGAGAAGAATGCTAACAATGCTTTTAGTTCTAGTTATCAAAGGAAAGGAAATGAGACACAATAACAAGATTAAGTTTAAACAGCCCCGCTGCTAACACAGTATCAGAGGAAATATCTTTAAAAAGTGAACACAGTATTATATACGTTTTTGCAACAGCTGCATTCTCCCGCTTAACCTTGTGCAGAACTCAAATCCGATAAAGCGAACTTAAGTTACTTTCACTCTTGTTAAATACAACTCTGTACAGACTGCACATTGCACACCAGAGCAGCTCAATATCACAGTTAGAGACATGAAAATGCCGACTAAAAATTTTCATGTCTAACAAAAATGTTTCTAGCCTAACAAAACCCAACAGACTCGTGCCCAAAGGGTCAGAACAAAACCAACTGCACAACTTTGTAAACAGTATGAGAGGTGGTCGCTGGGACTCCACCGCAGGATCCTATTAAATCACACAATCACACCTACACTCACACTCACACACACACTCACAATCACATACACTCACACACACACAGTCACACACACAGCTCCCTTCCTCCAGCGCCGCGCACAGCCCAGTGCTCAGTACCACAGCAGGCTTTTCACATTGTGTTCACAGCAGAGCGGTCACGGCCGTCTGGTTGAGGGGTTTGAGGCAGTCTCGGGGGGCTGAGTAAGCATCATGCGTGGGGGGCTGGCAGTCGGGCTGTGCACACTCCGCGGATAAGCAGCCCCCGGCTTTGGGCTGATCGTAGCCGGGGTCGGGGCCGGTGAGCACCGGGCTCTGTGGACTTTGATAGCCCAGGTTCGTGGCGCCCTCTCCGGCGGCGGGGGCTGCAGAGAAGTTGCCAGAAGACAGGGAGTGCTTGTGCGTGGGCACGCGGTAGCCGCTCTGCGCCGAGAAGGTGTGTGCGCGGGCCAGGTGCCGCTCCACGATGGGCGTGGCGTACTCGGGCTCGGGGTTGGTCAAGGGCAGCGCGTACTCGTGGCTGCCGGGGAGAGGGCAGCGGTAGTGGCTGCTGGCCTCGGCCTCCTGGGCCTCGGTGTCCATGGGCCGGAAGGTGGAGCCCTTCCTCGTGACCGTCCCAGTGCCGATCATGACAGGCAGCTGGTAATCTGAAAGCAGAAGAGCAGAAGACACGTCACGGGTGCGCCACATGGGCGCACGCATGGGCAAGGCAGCTGTTTGCAGGGGAGGGTGCTCTGCTCAACCTACTATCTACTGAGAGCCTGGGGCCAGGCAGGATGAGGGAGGCCAAGAGGTACAAGGCACAGGTGGAGTTTGGTTGGGGAGATGCTCATCTTTGCCCCTGAGGCATCTCCGACAACCTTCCCACTGGCACCTCGCAGACTTTGATATACACTGAGTGGCCAGATTATTATGACTGGCCAGATTATTATGACCACCCCATCAGTAGAATGAAGTGAATTAGTTATGCAAATAATAATAATAATAATAATAATAAAACCTTGAGAGTATTTGCTTAGGAAGTTTTCAATATTCAGTATTTGTGGAAGTGTCAATGAAGAACTGATGGGGTGGTCATAATAATCTGGCCACTCAGTGTGTACGTGCACCACCTGGGGACTTCCGGTTTAGTAGGCCTGGGGCGCGGCCTGAAAAGCTGCATTTCTACGGAGCGCCTGGTGCTGCTGATCCTCAGCACACACCCTGAGAAGTCAGAAGCTAGAGCAGCGCTGCTACTAGAGTGTGGTCTGGAGACGCCTGCATTATCTGAGCGCTGCCTGTGACAAATCTGCAGAGAGAGGGTCACACAAACTGAGAGCAAGTGTTTAGAAACCTACAGCAATTGGAGAGAGTCATTTTATGTCCCTTGAGTCTTATAAAAAAATTAGAGCTTTGTAAACTGTATGTCTTTTTGAAAACTTCCTTACAACTAATTCATATTGTATTTTGCAAAAGTATTAGTCCTGGATGGATTAGAAATTTTTTTTTAAAAAAAGCAAAAATTGGATCTTTCCCCACAGACAGTTTGAAAAGCTTAACTCCCAATGCTCGTTGGGGACACCCAGGCCATTCTAACACCGGACGGGTTTTTCATCTCTTCTCCCCTCTCCTCAAGGGCAGGAGCCGTACTTAACTCATCGTTAGTCCCTCTTTCCTAGTGCCTTAATCAAAACCTATAACAAAACAGATCAATTAAGTTTCCAGATTTCAGTGGTACTTCAGGGCCATTGCTTTGGGTGTCATTACAGCCCCTGCAGGTGTAAGAGCCTCCTCGGCTGAATGGGGCTCTTGAGAAATACCTCAGTGTCAGTTTGCAACTCTGTACAGAATGCAGAAAGCAAACTTCACGCATTACTAATTTAAATATGTGTGTGTATTTTTTATTGATTTCAGAAAGAGGAAGGGACAAGGGGAGAGAGATAGAAACATCAATGAGGAGAGAAAATCATCCATCGGCTGCCTCCTGCTCGCCCTCTACTGGGGATTGGGCACACAACTTGGGTGTGTGTGCTGACCCGGAATAGAACCATGACCTCCTGGTTCACGGGCCAACACTCAACCACTAGGCCATACCAGCTGGGCCACACATTACTGATTTAGAGGACTCCATCTAAACAGCAGGATTTTAGTCTTATTTTTCTCCTGGTCTCCCCTCTCCCAACAAGCAGAGGCCTGACACTTACCCGCCATATCCCTTGTGATGAGATCTAACTTTTGTGTCACCTCCTTCTCATTATCATAGCTGATGGTAAACTCAGCCGACTGATGTCTGGCAAAGGGATGTTTAATCTGCTTCCAACAGTCTGGAACGAAGATGACAGGAAATAAGGTGATAGCTTAGAAGTACAGCACACATTCTCCACTGCTCCATGACGTGTTCCTCCATGAGCCACAGGTCAGGCTGCCTTCTGCCGGCTGACCTTGTGATAAGCTCACAGGCACATGCTTCAGGTATGTGTGTTAGAAACAGCACACTGAGGCTGTTATATCCACAGCAAACACGATTCCAGCCATGCTTTCCACTGTGCCTTTAAAATGTCTCTGTGTGCCCATAGGTCCCATATCCTCCCAACGTTAGACCACCTGGTTTTCCATGGCATTTGTGACCCCAAGGAATCAACACAGCTGGCTGTTTAGACCCCGTGAAGGTGGAGTCCCAAGCTGTTTCTGAGATTCTCAGGGGCCCTGCCCATGGCCTTCTCTCTGGACTGCTGCCGACACATTGCTTGGGCATCTTGTGTCCTAAGGATTCTCTGAAACTCAAACACAAGCCCTGCCTAGTCCTTCCCCCGCTTTCCCAGAGAGCAAAACACAAGGGAAGCCTGCAGATGCTGAGTGCTGGACAGAGTTAAGGTCACAGCTCACAGATGGGGCTTTTATAACTTCTCCTTGATTACAGGCAATGTGTTGGCCTAAACTCCAGTGCCAAAAAGAAGGAGAAAGAATGTTGATAAATGATGGGATGAAGTTGAACAAAAGTAAAAGTAAACTGCTCTCTGAATTAAAAAGATAAGACACAATATATTCTTTCCTTATAAATTTGTTAGCTTAAAGGCTATAGATTTGATTTTATTTTAAAAGACCGAATGGTGCTTTTAATCAGCAGATCCTATCCCTGCCTCAAAGAATAAAATTGAAGATAGAAATTTCAACCCACCTGTTTTTTGGGCTTTAGCGGATGCATAAGGAGTTCCTTTCTTCTTCCTCCTAACAAGACAAAAAAATCCTACTGAAATGGTTTCTAAATGATAAGTACTGTTTATAAAATAATACTTGAAACTTTCCACCTCTAACCAACATGTTTGTAAAATACAAGTTAATATTTTATCTTGGAAGGAGTAATGTCTTTCTCCACATGAGCATCTGCAGGATAAACTTTTTGTTTTTGTGATTGTTTACATAAGTAGAGAAGAAATGTAAAGTCACGTACTTTCTAAGGACCGCAGGGATTCCAACAGACAGCAGGGCAAGGAGCAGCAGCGGAACAGCCATTGCGACCTTTGCTCCTAAGAGTGGAAGCAGCACATTACAACAGAAACGACCTGCAACCCCATTTCATGATCTAAAACTCAACCTTGATTTGAAAATTCTTCAAAGGGTTAATGCACGAGGAAATAAATGCATTTATGGACATTGGAAAGCAAGAAAAAAGAATTCAAAATTCTGGTTAAGGTTTAGGGAAATAAAAGTCATTCCCTCCCCCCTACTTCCAAAGCAGTTTTCTTCTTTTTAACTAATTTAATTTTTTTTCAGTTACAGTTGACATGCAATATTATATTAGTTTCAGGTGTAAAACATAGTGATTAGACACTTATATAACTTATTAGGTGATCACCCCTACAAGTGTAGTACCCATCTGACACCAACCATGTAGTTATTATAGCTATTTACATCCTCATGACTTTTTATGACTGACAATATGGAACTTTAATCCTTTCCCCTTTTACACCCATTCCCCAATCCCCCTCCCAGGAGTCTGTTTCTTTGCTTATTTTGTTGTTGTTTTCTTAGAGTCCACATATAAATGAAAAAACATGGTACTTGTCTTTCAATGTCTGACTTATTTCCCTTAGCATATTACCCTCTGGTCCATCCATGTTGTCACAAATGGCAAGATTTCATTCTGAAAGGGAGTTTTCAATGTTCTTTGGGGATTAACATCTGAGCTTGTTGCTTGGTCCATATTAGACTCCCAAAGTGAGAACTGAGGGGAAGGTTTAAAGCTGTCCCGCCCAGCCAGGAGCTATTCAGGCAGATAAAGAATTCAGCCTCGTGGAGCTGCTCCCTCGGCTCAAGCAGCCAGTTCCCCCTGATAGTGGGCAGTTGGGACCTGGACCCTAACAGAGGCCTGGGGACCTGGGCTTCTCATTACCAGAGCTTTGGACCGAAAGGAAATACTAGTATACCCTGCTGGCCTCAAACAGCAGTTCCGCCCTGCTGCACGAAACAGCAGACCATGTCTTCCTACAACTCTTTCTGCTTTAAAAAAGGAGGCCACTTTACCAGGCACTGTAGCAGGCCCCAAGCTTGCAGGAAGTATACTAACTACACATAAGGAGAAGTATTTGTTCTTCACCCTTCTCTACCTGTGACCCCTGGGAAGAAAACACAGAGACAACCAGGAGTGGAAAAGTGTTGTTCATGCAAGAAAGGATAAGGAACTTAGAAATTTACAGAAATATCTGTGGTGTTTTTTATAAAAGTAAAAATTTGGGAAAAATTTAACAACTTAAACATCTAACAATAAGGGAATGGTTAACTAAATAATGGGATTTCCATATGAAAAGATACTATTAAAGATACTAATAATTGTGCTTTTCAACTACTTAATAACATTGAAAATGCTCATAATACCATGTTGAGTGAAAAATATATGCTACAAAACAATATATGTTGTGCTGTCATTTTGTCTCAAAGTTATAAATATAAGTATAATTGATTTGATATAGTGGAATTTGGTGATTATGGAAGCTGATTCATAGCATTTATATTTATATTATTTTTTTCTCTAATCTTTCCAAATTTTATAAAATTAATATACAAATTATTTTATATACTGAAAAAAGAAATGTCCTTTTAATGTTCATTACTTGAATAAATTATATACACTTATATGTTTAGAATTCAAAAAGTATATAAAGGTATAGAATGAATGTATCTCCTACCTCTATTTCTCCTCCACAAAAAGCCAAATTATGTTTCCTGACACTGTTCCAGAAATACTAGAATAAGTATATTCATCTTTATTTTTCCTTTTTTACACACATATTAGAGTGCTAGATAGACTGTTCTATACCTTGCTTATTTATTTTAGTTGTCAATTTATCTCAGAGAACTTTCTAGATTACTAACACATTTTTTTTTATATTTTATTGATTTTTTACAGAGAGGAAGGGAGAGAGATAGAGAGTTAGAAACATCGATGAGAGAGAAACATCGATCAGCTGCCTCCTGCACATCTCCCACTGGGGATGTGCCCGCAACCCAGGTACATGCCCTTGACCGGAATCGAACCCGGGACCCTTCAGTCCGCAGGCCGACGCTCCATCCACTGAGCCAAACCGGTTTCGGCACTAACACATTTTTTTTCATGGCTAAAGAGTATACTGTTGCATGGATTTATTATTTTTCCATAAAATGTTTACCTAGCATTTGAAGGGCAAACACTAACTTTTCTACTTACAATACCACAATGAGTAGTTGTAGACATACATCATTTACACATGTGCCGATATCTCTGAAACATCTGCTTCCAGTCATTTATATGACAAAGAAAAGAAATTCTGTTGAAGCTACTGTAACATTGGATGGAGTACCAGCTATACTCCTGAGGAAATCACAAAACAGTAAGTGCTCTACCTGTGGACATTTCTCCAGAAGGGATGAGTTTTGTGATTGTCTCGTCTTCTCTTTCCGTTGAATTGGAACTGGTTTTGCGCCACACCAATGAATCATTGTTTCCTGAGAGAGAAGAGATATTGGAAAAACCACATAAGTAACAACAATTTGGGAAAGGAGATGGCCAGAATCTTACTAACCCACCGAGACTTCTACCTTGTGTAATCGGGCAACCAATGAGCTCCACCTTCAAGGCAATCCCCTGGTTCCACGTCTGGGGGATGACCCGCAGGTATCTGGCCACGATGGGAGGGATGAAATTGTTTATCACTGGATCCCGAAAATTAAAGTTGCCCGGAAACACCTGTGGAAACAGGTAACCTTCTCCTGAAGATTCTATTCGTCAGATTTTAGATCTTTATCAACCCATTCAGACCTGGTTACAGGATTCCATGTCTTGCTTTTTTTTTTTTTTTAAGACACTCTTGATATCAAAGATACAAGGTTCTGCCAAGACCGGTTTGGCTCAGTGGATAGAGCGTCGGGCTGCGGACTGAAAGGTCCCAGGTTTGATTCCGGTCAAGGGCATGTACCTTGGTTGCGGGCACATCCCCAGTAGGAGATGTGCAGGAGGCAGCTGATCGATGTTTCTCTCTCATCGATGTTTCTAACTCTCTATCTCTCTCCCTTCCTCTCTGTAAAAAACCAATAAAAATATATTTTTAAAAAAAATGATACAAGGTTCTGCAAAGAAAGGCCAAGTTGCCTAACTAACCTGGTACTGAGAACCTGTTTTCTGGAAGCATGCTGATGAAACAGTTGGAGGCTTGATCTCCTGCTCAGTTCTTTCCTCCAAAGTTTCTCTTACCTTTTTTTCATTATTCACAGTTCCTTTGTAGGTCCGCCACTTGGAGTTGTTGGTTTTGAAGTTCATCATTAAACTCTTAATATAAAAGTTGAAATTTGGATGTGTGGATTCTGTGGTCCTAATTCCTTGTAAAAAAATATATTATTTATAAATTAGTTTTAAAAATACATTACATACAGCATGTATTTTAACTTCAGGTTTCTTTTTCCCCCACTCATGTGAAATCTCAAATCATTTCACCGGCCAACGTTTCTTATTTGCATTTAGAAACCTGATCACAGATGAGTGTTTTCATACTGATATGCCATAAAAAGTATCACCACTGAGGTATCAGCTCTCTGGTCCATACATTCGTATTTACAAACCCACATGCAGGTTCTTCCACCGAGACAATGTGGAGATTAAGACGTAGCAGACTTTGAGGCATCTATTTAATCAGAAACATAACTGCAACCCCAAGTCGTTTTGCAGCTGTGAAACTGCACTTGTGTCAGTACCTGTTATTCTCTTCTCCTCTCCCAAATCTATTTCCAGCCACTCTTGCTTGTGTTTCTTGCTGCTGTCCCCCGAAGACCATGATGGGCCTTGGTCCTGACGTCGGGCTTGGCCGGAAGACCAATGAGCTTGTTCTCTGGACTCATCGACCCACTGCCAAGAATCTCTGATTTGCCCATCTGTTTCCAAACTTAAGGATGTGCTGCAACCTAGGAGAAAAGAGCACTGAAATATTTCAGATAGACAACCCAGCAATAGTCAGTTGTTTTACTTCCATTGTGATAGCAAATCAATTATTCAATTGCTAGTATTTTAATGACTCAGTCTGCATTTGACTCCCTTGTACTACATATCTTGAAATTGTTGCTGCTTTTGTTTTCAATGGACCTTATTGAAGTCACATTCCCTATAGGTGCCATCTCTTTGTCCCTAGTGTAGACTTCCCTTTCTGACCTAAATTCATCCTGATTTTAACAAAGCGCCAGGGGCCTTAAAGGCTTAAAATACTGAGCTTCTTGTCTATTCCACTCTCTGTACCTTGAAGAGCAGGTACGTCAACTGCTCTGAAGATCAGTAAATTGAACCTGACATCCACCCTTTGGACCTTCGCTATACCATGTCCAAGGCCATGTGGAGGTGTCAAGTAAAGGCCGCACCCCTCTTCCTGGACAAGGAAGACATCATATTGTTCTTCTTAAAATATCCCACTTTATGAGAGGGGGAATATTACACAGACTATCTTACACAATGGAGGGGACAAAAGCCTTTATTTTATATACTCATGTTCGATAACTTAAATTCAAGAAACCTACCAACCAAATTGTATTACTTAAAAGCTTTTCTGGCCCTGGCCGGGTAGCTTAGTTGGTCTGAGTGTTGTCCGATATGTCAAGGTGCAGGTTCAATCCCTGGTCAGGGCATATAAAGGAAGCGACCAATGAATGCATAAATAAGTGGAACAAAAAATAGACCTCTCTCTCAAAAAAAATTTTTTTTAAAGCAATTTCTGTTAAAATCGAACATGGAATTTCCTTGACCGGAATCGAACCTGGGACCCTTGAGTCCACAGGCCGACGCTCTATCCACTGAGCCAAACCGGTTCGGCTATCTTAACGTAAATGTCATTTCAAATTTTCATTCTTTTTTGGCAAAAGTTTGAAAGAGCTTAGATTATAAAGAAAAATATTTTCTGCTTAACATTAATATTAATTGGGCTTATTGTCTTGTGTGTTTTTAAGTCACAGCATACTTGGTGATGTGTGACCTGAGGGGGGGAGGGTGCGGGGAGGACGGGACAAAATCCTTTAAACTGTATCATCTGAGGGATATGGAAGAATAAACTACCATGAGGAATTGAAAATATCAAATTCTTAAGAAAAGCATGATCCTTACCGTTGGGGGCAAACAGAAATCGCTTGTCTGACAGGGAACCACTGAAATAGTAAACACAAACAGAGGGAGTGAGCTGCTTACCTGACTCTTAATGACTGGTACAGCGCTATAGCACAGGGCTCACAGAGCCTCCCCACACCCCGTGTGATCGGCACAGCCCCCAGCAAGGCTACTGTTATCAGCCTCATCACTGGCATTCAGTATCAGGCCCAGCAAAGGTAAGCAACTTTCCTAAATTCACATAGGTGACAAGAGAGCAGGACTCTGAGACACTGCTTATGAATAAAAATCATTGGATTTGAGAAGAAATGCACAGATACAGAGTTTCAGAAACAACCTTAAATCCCAGATCCTATATAATAAAAGCCTAATATACTAAGTGTCCGATCTTCGACCAGTCACTGACCACCAGGGGGCAGACACTCCGATCGGTAGTTTAGCTTGCTGTTGGGTCTGCCCTGATTGGGACTGGGAGAGACAGGTCAGACATGCCCTGGAGCCCTCCCACGGTCCCTCCCTGGCCCCAACTGTGCACCAGTGGGGTTCCTCTGCCTGGCCTGTACCCTCTCACAATCCGGGTTCCCTCAGGGAATGTTGGAGAGCCGGTTTTGGCCCCATCCCCACAGGCCAGGCCAAGGGACCCCACTGGTGCATGAATCCATGCACTGGGCCTCTAGTTAATTAACACATTGTGGACGGATCATGAGAATTCTCGATTCTTATTACACAGTGTTTTACAAAATATCATACTTTAAAAAGATATTAGCTTGTAAGAACATGTAATAAATAACTTCAACATGCAATGGGTACTTAATTTTAAAGTGTGCCATTAACATTTATGTAAAACGTTTTCTGTAATTGTTTAATAGAAACTTACCTGGGTAAAGCTAGCAATAAAACTACTGGTTAATATATGATGACAGAGACAGAATCACTGCCCTGAATACTTCCTTTGATTTAGCAGTCACCGTAAATGTCCCACTCACTGTCAACAATCAAAGACCATAGCGAGAAGTGAAGAAGCCTGGCCACTTTTAGGAGAACAGCACGCCATTTGCTAGCTGCCTTCTCTACAGACTTTTCTACCCCTTTCCTTAGGGGTCCTGTCCCAGTATGTTGTTCTGAACAGCCTCAACCCAGTCTCTCTGATCACACTGTCGCAACCAGCACCAAGCCATGAAGCAGCGCCTGCTTTTGGACGACAAGGTACAGCTGTCACTGAGAGAAAATTCAAAGCATTTCACTGACTGGCCTGAACTGGCCCTCAATGCTCTAACACAGCCCTCCAGCTCATCAGCATTCATCTCTGGGCCTCCGGAGTCCTGCTGCCCTACAGCCTGTATTAATCTCATGGGAGGACTTATTAAATCAGCCTTGTTCTGTACTTGCCTTCTTCGGAAGAGAAGAGATTTCTAAGACCTCACACCATATTTAACTTTCTAAAAATCCATCACCAACTCAATGGTGTAAAAATACATAGAACCAATAGAAAATCTGGAACTCTCAAGATTAATCTTATGTACATAGTACTTACTATATTAGATACTAGAAGGAAACACAAAAAGGTCGATGTCGCCAACCCTGCCTGGCTCAGTGGTTGAGCGTCAACCTATGATCCAGGAGATCATGGTTCCATTCCCAGTCAGGGCACATGCCCGGGTTGCGGGCTCGATCCCCAGTGTGGGGTGTGAAGGAGGCAGCCAATCAATGATTCTCTCTCATCATTGATGTTTCTATTTCTCTCTGCCTTTCCCTTCCTCTCTGATCAATAAAAATATTTTTTTAAAAGGTAGATGTCACTGTGTGTGACATTATTTTACAATCTGAGAATATGAGTTATATTTTAAATGTTTAACTCTGAATTATACATGGCAATATTGGCCAGAGAGTATGGAACTGTGAAATCCACAGAGAACTCCAAAATAGTTAGGCAAGAGCATGAGTACCTTCCCATCAATGTTTTTCTTAGAAGTAACAGGTAGTCAAACTCTCCGGATTAATATTCTCTTTCATATTCTTTGTCCACCCTCAGGCAGAGACTCCATCAACCCAGGTATTCTACATTAGGGTCTATTATAATCGCTGTACCGAATGAAATGCAGGCACCATTCATTTCTCATATGAGAAAACTCAGACCCAGTTGGGTCAGGGACTTGACTAAGTTCACATTCGGTGGCAAAGCTGGGAGGAGGACCCAGCTCTCCTGACTTTTAAAAAAAGATGCACAATGTTGTCTTTCATACTTACATTTTTATTAAGAGTTATTTAGAGCCTTTCATTGACTGATTTTCCCGTCTTCGCTCATGTTCCCGCACTAAGTATTTCACTTGAAATACGGCCCAAATAAACCCAAACGATACTGCTGCCAGCCTACACTTGTTCCCACTGCCGGGAAACATTAAGATTTTGCTGCTGTTGTTGAAAAAGAGAAGTTACGGCAAGAAGGGTAACTTTGGAGTGACCCCTGAGAAGAAGATGCCAGGGAAGGCTCAGCTTCTAACAGCTCCTTCCTCACTTTCCTCCATTATCCCTGGGAATGGTTTTTCCCATTGCACTCTGTTGAACTAATTGAATATGACCAATTAGAGAATTCCATGGGTAAGTGTCCTCTTTTAAAAAAGAAAATGCCCTCAGGATGTGGGGGTTTGGAGGTTTTCACAGATTAGGGTGAATGTATTCAATCAGATTCCAGGAACTGCCAGCCTTCCCAGCGGGCTACAGAAGCAATCAAGAATAGTCTGATGTAAACAGAAAGACAAGCCTTCCCGGCCTCTGGTTGGAGCCATCCTCCTCTTGTGAAGTCAGCGCCTCTTCCTGATTCCATTCTGGTCTCCCCAGATCCAGGAAGTAACCTGACCCCGGATGAACCCCAAAAAAGCCCTGGATATTTACTCTAGGGGCTCTTTCTTCCTCAGCTGCAGTGCTTCCTTCTGTGTTTTTTCCTGAACACCAAACAATCATGTGTGGGAACAGAAGTTCAATGACCGCATGTACACTGGTTCCCCAACAGCAAACCAGCACAGATAAAAACAAGTGCTCCCTGAAGATTTGGGAATCTAAATGAATGAAAAAGACTATTGGCCTACAGCTCACTCCTCTCCTAGTGCAAAAAGTCAGTGCAAAATCAGAGCTAGAAGGAAGAAGGGACCTTGATAGAATTCTGGATTTTCTATCTACTCACATCAGCATAAAAATAGGATTATCTCTTCAAATAATTATACAGACTGTGAAGCAAAATTTTCCCTAATCCCTTAATGGTTCAGATTTTGGTACTCTTTTTTTTGCATTAAAGTTTAATTTCAAATTATATAAAGCAGCTTCACATGTATTAAGCTCAATTGATATCGCAGAAGTAATTGAGAACATAATGTTTACTATTATTCAGTGGTTTTAATAATTGTTATTCAAAAGTAAAAGAAAATCTTGTATTTGTACAAAAGAAGCATTCAAATATATGCAGACACAGGCAAGCAATTCCAAAAAAACAGATTTAAAGCCAAAGGCCAGTTCTTCATTCATGTTGAAGATGGCAGCCCTCAACAAACCTAGGCCACAGCCTGATGCCTTCCTGAGATAGCACTCTAGTATCAACAGAAAAACAACAACAACAACAACAAAAACAACATAAAAAGAAACAGATCCTCAAAAATCAGGGTCAAGCTAACATTTAAAGCTTCCAGGGAACAAGCTACCTCCTTTACTATAAATCAGGATATAATCTTAATGTTCCAAAGAGTTTGAGGCAAATACATTAAGTGAAAGCATATATGTGTATACATGTGTATGCATTAATACACATATAAAATTTCATTTGTATATAGTATATATGTATACACACATATGTACACACACATATACTAGTATATAAATATAAACTTTATTTATTTGAGTAAAGATTTTAGTTTCTAAAGGCATCTGTAAGCTTTTAGACCTTAACTTTAGCACAAATTTAGAACTAATTTGTCTTTGAATGTTTAGAAAATATGAAAAAAATACTGTGGGGCCTCTTTTGTAAAAAAAAAATCCCATCCATAGGGAAAAGCAAATGGGAAGGTCATGGCAGGCAGAGAATACAAATATAAGGAGGCGAGCCGGCCCATCTGAGCGCGCAGAGTGGCCGGGCCTTACTGGCTGACTACCTTTTATAGGTTACACGCAGCATTGCTTTCAATGCCTGTGAAAGTGTTGGCCTGGAACAACCTCTCCAGTTACCCCCACCTGCACCCCCAAACTCAGAACTGACAGTGGGATTTCTGCCTCTTCTCAGTCACCCACCAGCCAGCCTGCTGGACGTGAGTTGGATGTGACATGGTGTGCCAACGGCCACCACAACCCCTCTCTGGCATCTCTTCCCTGGTCTTGACTCTACTGCTGTGTCCCCCTAAGCCTTGGGCCTGCCTTCCATCAAACCCAAGGCTTGCCTTCTTCATGAAGGTACCTAACCAACTTCTCCCCTCACTTCAGTCACTGCTTCCCCTCCCCCACTGTAACAGAGTAAAACGCTGGGTCTCTGACTCCATCTTGTTCAAGCCTGTGTTGGTCCTGTAGCCTTTAAGCTAACAGCTCCTGCTTTGTCTAGCACACAGATATGCTAATCACTAGAGGAATTCTGCTTGATGCCTGAGTTTTAAAATCACAGCCCTCCTATTTCCCCTCCCCTTGACATCAAAGAAGCCTAAACTCTACTTTCTTAAGATGGATTTGAGGATTAGGTCTCCCATCTTCTCGGTTGGAGCCTTTTCAATCAATAAACCTTCCCTTACTCCAAACTAACATTTTCAGTTTTGGCCTTTTGAAGTGTTGGGCACATGGCCTTTGGACTGTAACTTAGTGAGTGTAGGCCAGCACCCCCAAATCCAGAAATCACTTTTTGTCTCAAAGTGTACTTGTGAGTTCACAAATTGGTTCTTTGAAACATAAAATAAATGTTCTTATAAAAACAATATTATCATTTGTGGTCAAGATCCTTATTTGACACACAATATTACTAAGCCATAATACATTCCAATAAAAAGTAGTAGTGTATCGTTGTAATTAGCTAGTTATTAATATCAGAAAAGGAACAAAGGGAAGGCCAGACATTATAAACACGGCATTGGGCAGCTTCACTAGGAAGCTGCAACTTTACACACCCCAGGGAACCACCAGTCCATTCCCTGCACATCCCTGGGGGAAGGGACTGGACAAAGGGGAAGATGGGTGCATGTGCAGTGAGTGGGGGTGATGTAGGGAAGGTGTCTGTCAGTCAAACCTGGGAACAGAGGTCACTGGCTCGAGTGGGCAGGGCCACTGCACGCCCAGGAAAATTTGGGAATCCATAGTCCTTCAGACAAAGGAGCTCACTCTCTTGGCTCTATGGTTCCTTTGGTTTTGCTCCTGCTTCCTGGCATTTGCCCGTGTTCCCTCCAAAGCCATGCGACCTGTGGACCCCACACACAATGGACTGATGGACTGCACTGGGGACACAAGCTAAGCCAGCCTGATGCAGATTGGACTATGTCCCAAGATGGAACGGAAACTCTTTACTCCTAGCTCTTTTGAAGCTACAGCTACACTTACTTCTACGGTGGGATGGAGGGAAATGGGACCTTGGAAACTCAGGGGTGTAATTCCACAGAAATAAAGCTTTGTATAATATCTCATCCTTCCATGTGATTTTTAAAAAAATATATTTTATTGATTTTTTTTTACAGGGAGGAAGGGAGAGGGATAGAGAGTTAGAAACATCGATGAGAGAGAAACATCGATCAGTTGCCTCCTGCACACCCCCTACTGGGGATGTGTCTGCAACCAAGGTACATGCCCTTGACCGGAATCGAACCTGGGACCCTTCAGTCCACAGGCCGATGCTCTATCCACTGAGCCAAACCCGATAGGGCATCCATGTGATTTTTAACCAGATAAGATAGTTCACAATCCATTGTGAGAATGGGATAGTAAAACATGATCATGTTCTTTCTGCATGCAAGAGGGGACTAGGGCCGAATGGCAGGGAGAGCTATGCACAAGCTAGCCAGTGGTCGAAGATGTAGGTCCTGACCTACTTTCGGATCCTGAAATGCCTATCACCTCTGTTTTGTGCTATATCCTCAGGACAACGAACATGTGACAACCTGTCAGAAATACCAGAGCCGCAGTCATGGGAAGACATTTCCAGGGGCAGGCAGAGTGAGGAAGAGAGATAAACACAGTGGCTTGAAGAGCACTTTTCCCTCACTAGGCATTCATCCAAGGGGAGCCTCCCTCTGGACCATTCCCACTGCCTGTTTACATGTGTGGACATCTGGTCCACAGTTGAGCCTATATTTAGTCCTAATAGCTCTAGTTTTCCATTCCAGAAGCTGAGGAAACCTGAAAGCATTAGAAGCTGAGGCTGAAACATTTAAAGTAATTGACATACATTTTTCTTATGAAGCTACTAAAAAAGCAGAGGATAATACCAAACAGAGAAGTAAACAATGTCAACAAAAGTCATTTTTCTTCACTTCTGAAGTATTATTCACCCTTAAAAGATTGTCTCTAGGAGTCTTCTGGGGAGTGCCATAATTCAGAATGGGTTTATTTCAGCTTCCTAGTTTCCCTTCAGTATCTTCGATAATATTGGAGATTACTAGTAACCAACAAATTCCTGAAACTGAGAAGACTAAAAAGGAATAAGTCTTTGTTCTCTCCAATAAAGTACCTGAGTAGAAGTACTCCTCTGCCCTGGGACTTCATATGTGTGCCATTTTAATGTACTTGTCAGCATAACCAGTGAGCTTTCTTATTATTGCATTTACCTTCCTCACAGACACTACTGTAACACTCACATCTTTTCCCCAGTTGACAAACCCTTGTCACATGTCTGCTGTTCTTTCAAAAATTGTGAGCTAATTATGCCTTGGGGTTACCTTCCACTCAAAACAAAAGGCAAAGAAAGTACTTACTCCCTTGAGAGCACACCATTGGCCAGGATTCCTTGGTATCGACTTAACCCTTTGTGCTTGAACACGCTGATCTGACCGCCCAGTTCATCTGCAATTATCCCTGCATGGATGGCCGCCTTGCACAATAAAGAGTTCTGAAACACAGCAACACTGTCACTCATGGCTTACTCAAGAATACATTTAAAATATACTGGGAGTTTTCCATTTTGTTAGAACTTGTGGTCAGGATCTCTAATTGACCCATGGCATTGCTTAACTATAATTCATTGAAATAAAAAGTAAAAGGGGGAGGGAAAAGTGTTAATATATCACTATATCAATGACATCAGAGTCACCATATGTAAGCTAACTAGGTTGGTAAGTAGGTAATTTACGTAGCAATGGTCCTCTCAATGAATAACACCTCCTGGTGGCCATGTCCTTGTGTAGTTACCTCCCACACTGACTCCCAACTGGCCATGCAGCTTGTTCTGTGCAGCTGCACATGTCAGTGAGGCCACTTTTGACCCTCTGGCTCCAGGTTACCTGCCACAAGACTGTAGCTGTAGGAGTGGTTCTAGGGCTAGGCAAAGGTAGTTAAAGAATGAACTCATCAGCAAATCAACGGGTTGTTATTTCAAGCCAGGAAGTTCTGGGGTGGCTAAAATAGATAGCTGTTCAGCAGAAATAGATAACTGATCAGAGTTTCTTACATTTGGTTTACCAGATGTACGTACTGAGGATCATTTGAGAAGGTGAACCTCCCCCACCATAGCTTTTACAATTGTTATTTTGGTCTTTGTTTCCTTTTACAATTGTTATTACAATTAATTTAGAGATTTAATTGTAATAACAATTAATTACAATTAAGTTTTTACAATTAATTCTATAATTAATTTAGAGACTTAAGAAGGCATAGAAAACAAAATAGTGATGCCAGAACACGAAGCAGCTGCCGTCTGGTGTGATGACCCTAGCAGGAGCACCTGCCTGGCTGCGTAGCCGGTGGCCCTGGGATTGAAACTGGCCTGCTGGACAGCGGGGCTGGAGGAAGGACTAGAACTTTTCAGCCGGTTGCCCAGGTCCTAGGATTCCATGAGCACAGTTCTGTGTGGGAGGATGATTAGGTAGATTGTAACCTATCTTGCAGGAGACTTCCTTGTTCGGAAACTCTCCCAGGAAGGCCCACATGACAAGGAGCTGAGCACAGCCTCCAGCCAAAACCGGGAAGAAACTGAGCTCCCCCATCTGGCAACCTGAATACTGCCAACACCATGTGAGCTTAGAAGCAAATCTTGCCCCAGTCAAGTCTCAGGTGAGACTGCAGGCCTGGCTGACACCTTGGCTGCACCCTTCAGACCTGGAAGCAGAGGACTCAGCTAAGCCATGCCCAAACTCGCACCCCATAGAACACCAGAGATAATACATGTATTGTTTTACGCTTCTAAGTTTGTGGTTGATATCGTTTTGTGGCAACAGATACCTAACACACCCATGACATACAAAAAAGGCACTAATCAGACTTCTTTGAAGAGGTTACTTTTCAAAACACAAATTTTCCCTCCAGATAAAATCATCCTAAAAGCAAATGGTGTAAAACCAGTGAGTGAGTCAGATGGGAAAACTGTTTGTAGTACTTGCAAATCTATTGTGCAGGAAACCACTTATTTACTGGTTACACTGAATAAGAAAACTGTCAAGAGGAGGCAAGATAAACCACTAAGTAAGAAAAAATTATGCTTCCTCTCAAAGTGTACATAATTCTTAGGTTTCTTGCATGGTACAGGAAATAATAAAGAAAACTTTTCTATTGCCTAGAGGGAAAACTATACTTTTTATTTCTCTTAGTTAATTTCCTGAAGTAATTTAGAAATAGCCTGTGCCAAATATATATTCAAACTGAGGAGGTATAAATCATTTTAAGGTTCAAACAATTTATAGGCCAAATGAATATCCCGTGTCAATCTTGTAAATAAAGACAATACACAAAAAAAAGGAAACAAAGACCAAAATAACAAAAACTGCTGCTTCCAGAATCAGGATGTGCTAAAAGCAAAAATTAAAGCCAAGTTTTTTTCCCCTCCTGCTGGAGATGAAGTATCAACCTTCTAGAATATGTATGCTTTCCCCACGCTTGAAGACACATGCCCATAACACTTAGAAATTTCTGATAACTCAAGCAAATTCCTGTAAAACTAGTTAAATAGCAATGTCACATTTTAAAAATCAGGCATCAGGTTTCCAGGGTAGAAGTCTGTAAATAATAAGAAATGAAAGATTGTGAATCTGGCGACAGGATATATACTTTAGAAAAATGACTTCCTGTGAATTAATTTTTCTCTGAGAAAAATGTACATAACCCAGAAAGTCTCATTGGGCATAGGAAATGGAGGAGCAAGGAGGGAAGGGAATAATATATAAGAACAGGGCAGAGGGCTGCCTGCACTGGTGTCAGACACACATTCACTATTCTGTGATATGAATGTTCATGTCCTTGGTTATTATTACATGAACCAAATGGCGTGTTAAAATAAAGAAATAAAGTATAACAAAAAGATTGCCTCTTATTAAAATCAGTTAGAACTACATTCTTAGGTGTTGAAATGGGTTCTGTTTTACCATTTCAAATGCTTAATGACAGATGCTAAAAATAGTAATGAATAACCTTGGTTGTTGTACTTATTATATTATTTCACTTATTCTAGGGAAAAAGAGAGTCGTATATCTATCTACAGAGTTTTAGATCTTATTTGATTTTACTTTGTAATGAATCTAGGCAGAGCCATAACATTCCCCCCAATCACTTACATCTCTATATCCATCCGCCATGTTCCCAAAAATGTCTCCTTCTATGTCTCTACAACCAGCTGGGCAGAATTTGCTACAAAAAAAAAAAAAAAAGAATTTATTTTATGAAATTATAGTTAAATGTAAAAGTGTTAAAATTATACTTAAAACAATTTCTCTCCTCCATAGAATACACAGGAGGGAATACCTTGCTTTAATGACAAGTCAGAGACCTGATTTATGAAAACACAGATTAATCTAAAATGTTACTATGATAGCAAGTTTTACACAGTAATTGTTTGTTTTATATATGGATGCATTATATACCCTATTAAAAAATGAGCGTTCCTAATGTATCTTAATGATTCTAAGACATGTTTTTTATGGATAAAAAGAAGACAAGGAATTAGATCTTTGGATTCTAGTGGGATTTTGAGAAACTTTCACTTTATGTGTTATTTTACTATGCAATATCTTGATTCACTCTACTAGCACTACCCAATAGAAACATAATGGAAGCCACATATATAAATCTAAATATTCTAGTAGCCACATTAAAAAAGTAAAAAGAAAGTTTTCTCATCTGCAATTCCTTCAAGAGTCAACATATCAATAGGCTATGAATGACAGCTATACATCTATGAAAAGCATGCAAAAAGAAAGTCAAAATATTATAAGAACAATGACAACTTTGAAGATGAAGGCCATATGCCTTTGTTTCTATATATACACTACATTACGATAATGTTTACTTGGTTTGTTTAAAAAGAATGTATCAGCCCAAACAGATTCCAAAATAGCAGTCGCTTTGACTTCATTTCCTCCCAGTTTCCTCCTGCTGACTTAGCAAATTAGACGAGTAACAACATCTAGTTATCAAAACTACCCAAACAAATAACTCACAATTCTTTCCCATTGACCTAATGGAGTCCAGCATTGCAGCAGTGATCAAGGAATTAAGAAATGAAAATAATGGAGAATCCTACTACAGGGTTACAGTCCCTTATCCTCACCCTTAGAGGCAGATTATTTCAGAATTCAGACTTTTCTGGGGTTTTTTTTTTTGGATTTTAGAAAGTAGGACAATTCCAATGATGTATATTATGTAAGATCCTGTGAGGTCTGCACATATTAATAAAAACATTAAAATCTCTGTGTCAAATACACAAATAGTCATATTAAGTCAAATACAGACTAAGTAGACTCCTTAATTTTAGTCCAATTTTGCTGTCAAATGAATTTAAGGTCACGTTAATCAGGTATTGCCATCAAGTGAGTTACAAAAATTTTTGACTTTCAAAGCTTTCTGCATTTCACAGGGATTGTGGACCTTTATTAGTCATTATGCCTCATATTTACCTAAACACTGCAAACGCTGGGCTACAACTTGGATCAGCGATTTTCAACCTTTGTCATCTCATAGCACAAAAAAATAATTACAAAAATTCTGCAGCACACCAAAAACAAACAAACAAAAAAACCCAAACAAACCATATCTTTTTTAACAAAAATTCTGCAGCACACCAAAAACAAACAAACAAACAAAAAACCAAAGAAACCATATTTTTCACTGACCTGACAAAAAAAAATAATTATAATTTTGATTCATTCACACTGGACGGCTATTGTTGTATTGGCTATTGTCATTTTTTAAATTTGACAATGTAAGGGAAAAGAGGTCAGTGCCCCTGACTAAATAGTCAGGTACTGCATGTTTTAAAAATTCTTGCAGCACACCAGTTGAAAATTGCTGGCTTAGATGATCTGGAACCATTATCTCACTCAGTATATTTCCCTTTAGGACTGAAAATGATCATTGATGCCCAGAGGCCCTATCACCGCTGGCGCTGTACAGGATCACTGAAAAGATCCAGGGAATGTTGACGAATATCTACATTGGATGAAAGGCAACTTTACAGGGCAGTATTGAATTATTGGTCACTTTTATTTTTTGTTTTTTCTCTACCAGACTTAGTATTGATTAACACTAGAGTTGATTCTGCATAGAAAATAATCTCATTTACTAGAGTTCGAGATGATTAGGACCAGGCACTCTTGAGCCTGACTCTGGGTAGACTTAAGTGTGTAATCCTGGGCAAGTTACTGAACTGCTTTGTGCCTCTGTCTTTTGTGTACAACAAAACCTACTTTGTAGGCATGTTGGGACATTCACTTGAGTTACTTTTATGCTAAGTCCAGGCACTAAGTACCTGGCCACTAAGAAAGCACTCTGAGGAGTTATAGCTGTTGTTGGCAATGATCTCTAGACCAGTGATTCTCAACTGGGTGTGAATTTTGCCCGCTGAGAGACATTTGGCAATGTCTACCAGAGACATTTCTGGTTATCACACTGGCCAAGGGTAGAGGCCAGGGTTGCTGCTGAACATCCAACAATGCACAGAACAGCTCTTCACAACAAAGAACCATCCGACCCAAAATATCAGTGGTGCCAAGGCTGAGAAATCCTGCTCTAGGCTCTTTTACTTTACAGATGAGGGAATGTACATCAAAGAGATTAAGCCATTTTTCCATTAAAGCTGGGATAGAATTTTCATCTCCTACTCACAGTAGGTTACTCTTTTGTGGGGAAGACAAAATAAACCCTCCAAAAGCAAAATAATTAACAAAAGTCACTCCCAAATACAGGCCAGGTAAAAAAATGTTGGCTCATTGGTCCTATAGTAGAACTCGGGGGTCAGCAAACTGTGGCTTAAATCTAGCCTGCTGCTTGTTTTTGTAAATAAAGTTTTATCGGAACACAGCCCTGCTCATTTGTTTACATCTAGTCTATGGCTGCTTTTGCATTACAACAGCAACAAAACTGTATGACTTCATGCAAAAGAGACTGCATGACCTGCAAAACCTAAAATATTTACCATCTGGCCCTTGGCAAAGAAAGGCTGCTGACCTCTGCTGTATAAGAAACCATTTCAAATATTCCTCATGAGTTACAACATAGATGATTTAAAAAAAATACAAATAATATCTGGTTTAATGTCAAGGTAAATAAAATGTTCAGCAACATATGCCTGCAGCACAGCCAGCACACCCATCCTTACCTGTATTCTGTCTCCAAATAATGGTTAGCTCGGTCCAAACACGTTATCAAATCTGTCATAAAGATCATTGTAATTAGCAGACTGAATGGAACTTAAGATACCCATGCTTGAAAGCTTTCTTTTAAAATAAAAAAGATAATTTTTAAAAAGCATTTATTCTTTATCTAATTTATCTATATTTTCCTGTTTAAAAATAAGTAAAAACTGAGCACATCTGTAATAGTCATCAATAAAAAAAAGTTAAAAAAATAATCTAAATTGTAATCCCTTCACTTTTTATATGGGGAAAGGTCTATAGTGGGGGAAAAACACAAACAAAAACTGAACACAGTGTCCTCAGGATTTAACAGTTCCTTCATGTCTCTTTCCTACCACCAATGATGGTTTTTCAGTGGTTGTCCAGTGAGTGACAACAGAATCTATTTCCAACACTGGTTAGTTACTATCCACTACATGCCTACAAAGATCATGTGTATTAATTCCTTTGGCAGAAGGAAAACAATTTTAAAGCCCAATGTGGTTCATACAGAAGGTTCAGGAACATTGTAATTTAACAATTTAGCTGGAGGCACCTGAGTGACCCAAGAACCAGGTGTTGAATGAAAACACAAATAGCCTCTCAACTCTGACCAATCAGGACCAAGGACTTAACAAGAGGGTGCTCTTTGCGTATGGAACCAAACTAATACTCAACAACAGAGATGCTAAGATACTGTGGATGTTGATGCATTTATGTCAACCTAGTATAGTTTCCAAAATATTCCACACTTGCAATAGTTCTTTCTTTCCTTCATCTTTTCAATAGTTCTTAGGGGGTAACATATGGTGAACATTGGCCATGCTGGGGCCTGCCTGGATTGCTCAGATCTGATTGGCTGGGAGGGAAATGAATGGTGCACCCCCTTCCCAGAGTTCTTCTGCCAGAGAGGAGTGAAAGCAGAAATTCTGGGCACCTCTGTGCCCTGGGCAGACATGGGGTGGGCTGCACGGTAATTACTCTGGAGTACAAGAGGCCTGGACAGAGCCCATGCTTCCCTTCTCTCCTGCTCGTGTCAGCTGCATGGTTAGGGGATTCGGTGATAGTGACTACATCCTGGTCATACTCACACTCCTCCAGCTGCGCTGGTGCACTGATGTGTGTATGTAAAGGGGTGTGGGTACTTGATAAAATGCTTGTCCTGAGCTAAGAAACAGGCCGGTGGAGGACTCCAGAGAATATAGCCAGACCTCAGAAGGGCGACAGTAGCCCCAAAGATGCTCCACCCAAGGCTACTAGGAAAATGAGATCAACTCTCTTATGTCAGCTGATCAATTTAACATGTTCTATAAAAGTGTTCAATTCAGACCCAACTACAGACATTGCATTCCTCTCTTGCCTCACATCTTAATTCTGCATCTGAGGTCACAATTCTGTCCAGAGATAGTGATAAGTAGCAAGAGGCATTCTTAGACAGATAAAGGTGTACAGATTTGTGTTGATGCTTCCGCTATACCTGGATGGTCGCTGCTGGCATAGGTCAGCAAAAAGCCCCGCCCAGAAGTGTGGGATCCACTTGCAAAGCGAACAGTTATTTCATTTGTGTTCAGCAAGAGTTCTTTGGGAACATTCATACTTCCACAATATGGTCCTAAAAATAAAGCACATTTTTGGCACATTTCAAAATTTGGACCAGCACAAAGAATTGGTATATGGCATTTTTCTCTGTTAGTGGTCAAATTTACCAGACAACACAAATATAAGATTGTAATAATCACTCAACTGGAATTTTGTTTAATACTGAGACTGATAGTGAACCTAATTATACTGACAAGCCAAGGGGGGAAATGGCTAACTTTGGATAAGTAATAGGCTAGAGCTAGTTAACTGTGAACAACCCAAGAGATAGGTTTTTGTAAAAATAAGACTAACAAATAAAAGTCAAAAAATTTTTATCACAAAAGTGATATTCTCCTAAACTTGCTTAAAGAACTATTTAAATGTTTGTGTCCCCTCAAAATTCATATATTGAAATCCTAATACCCCAGTGTGACGGTATTAAGAGGCAGGACTCTGGGAGGTGCTTAGGTCATGAGGGTGAAGCCCCTATGAATGGGATTAGTGCCTTTATAAAGGAGGCCTCAGAGAGCTTGCTTGCCCCTCTACCATGTGAAGACACAGAGAGAAGGCTACAAACCTGGAAGTGGGGCCTTACCAGCCACTATAGTGAATCTGCCTGCACCATGACTCCCAGCCTCCAGACTGTATGAAATAAATCTCTGCTGTTTTTAAGCTATCCAGTCTGAGGTATCTTGTTAACCAACTAAGACAGGTAGTAAAATAAAAATAAAAAATGTTATCACAAAAATGATATCTAGGGGCCTCTTAAATTTGCACAAAGAAACTAACAAATTTCCTATTTTAAGGAAATTCCAGAATTAAGAGTCTGTCCAATGCATGGTAAACATCATATTCCCATGCAGTTTTTCCTATACACATTGATCTCTCTCTTACCGTAGCTTCTGGTTAACCTGTATAATTTATTTTGATTTATAAAATAAAGTTCATAAAAAGCAGAATAGTTTTTAAAGCTTTTTGAAATTCCATAATATAAATTATACAATTAAGAGTATTACACATTGTTTCTAGAATAAGTTGCTTGAAAAGCAATAGGAAACTCAATGAACTTTCAAAGAACAAAATTAGATTTGGAGCTAAAAAGGAAATAAAATACCTTCCCAAGACTACTCAAGTTAAAGTTTAGTTGTCATCTTAAAAGTCATGTATGCAAGACACAATAATTTCCTTGAAAATAGGAATTAACAAGCAGATCTAAAAATTTTATTTATTAATGAGGAAGAGAGAGAAAGAGGGAGAGGGAGAGAAAGAGAGAGAGGGAGAGAAAGAGAGAGAGGGAGAGGGAAAGAGAGAGAGAGAGAGAGAGAGAGAGACTGATTCTTGCATGTACCCTGACAGGGGCTCAAACATACAACCTTGAGGATGAGCTTTTCTTACGAAAGCCTTTCTATGCCCAAATGATATGGTTACTGTCAGCGTTCTCCATCCTGACTTGTAAAAAGGGTCTACAACTGTACTTAAACATCCCCAAAGACAGTATCATTGGAAATTCAAATGTGAGCTTGATAACTTCTATCTTTGACCAGGGTTCTATTCTCCATCTTGGGCTGTGTTCCTGGAATGGTGAACCCGCCTCAGCTCAGGTCGGACTGAAGCCCACCCCTTCTTGACTGGGTCCTAAAACCTTTAGCAGACCTAAGCGCAGGACTCACAGTTCCGCTTCCCATCTGCGGGTGCTGTGTGTTACACAGACCTGGACTTGCCATCTAACTCTCCTCACCGCCATCCTTGCCTGCAAGGCAGGTTCCATCCTACTTTACAGTCCCAAACTCCCTCGACTGGGGCATCGCAGAAAGGTACTTCATCAAGTAGGCTGAAAAATCAGGAAAAACGAACACTTCTCCCTTTTGTGGAATGTCACTGTAGGCCTGGATTGTGGGAAGAGCTATCGATGATTCAGAACGGAATAGCCCTGTGGCATTTGGCACCTGACATGAGGCCAAGACCTAATAGACAATGGGCTAATCCCTTGGACAAAAGGAATAAAGGGCCCGGAACCACAGGGGCTGACTTCTTTGAGCACAGTAGGCCAGTTCCTCTCAACACATCCCTTGTTTGGGGCCACTGTTCCATGAGCAGCTGAGAGGGGAAACCCTTTATCTTTCCATGTGTGAATAAAAGAAAACTGTCCAACTAGGAAGAATGAACCATCTGCTCAGAGCCAAGCCCAGAGCCCTCCATTCTCTGGCAATCGGACAATCCGTGCGACAATTTCTAGTAGAGCTCCATTCTCCAGGGTCGTCTGCCTAAGTCTCTGGACATTACAAGGCAGTCTCAGGTGGGTTAATAACTCTTCCAAGTCACTTCAGGAGGGTCTATGCTTTTGAGCTTGAAACCAATGGAGCTAAATTATTGTTTCATCTGTGAAAGGGACGTGTCTAAAAAACGGATGCATACTGTTAAAAAAAAGAGAGACCCCTCCCCCCGCATAACTACTCTCAGTGGTGAAAAACACGGAGACCAAATGAAAATCCAACTCCTGAGAGAGCTGTCCTAAATCAAACAACAAAAATTCCTCCTGAAAACCTTCAACTTTATAAGCACCTTCTGAGTGCACCTCTGGCATTTGGCACCTGAAAGCACACATTTAATTCCTTATGACAGAAAAGAACATGCCAGTGGGCCTAAAGGACATTCCCGGGAGTGCCATGGCAGGGCCAGCCACGGGCACGCTCTCAGCCGCCAGGAAAGTGGCACCCAGCACGGGCCAGATCTGTGCTCAGAGGCAGGCGCGCTGCCGAAACCATCTCCAGAAATGCTGAAGCTGCAAAGGCACGCCATTGACTCCGGTCCCTTTTCCATTTGTTTTTTTTTCAGTGCAGTCAAATGGCAAGGTTTGTCCTTGCTGGCTAATTGCAATAGTGTCATTGTACAAAATTACTGAATTTTCAGGGCCATTTTCTTTGAAAAGGAAGGAAATTAACATAAAAAAGGGATATTCCTGGACTGTGCCATTAACACCATGGTCACGTAAGAATGTAAGTGGTGTCCCTGGAGAGCGTTTGGTCTCCGGTTCCCAGACAAGAATCAATGACAGATGATAAATGAACCAGGCGGATTCCTAGACAAAGGTGTGGTTTTCCTTGGGGCCAAGGCATGTCAAGAAGTGCCCTAACACTGTGGCTCACAACCCACCTAGGCCATTACTTCTCTCCCAACAAAAGAGGGTAATTACTGAAACTAAATCACAGTGCGGTCTCCAGGGGAGTATTTGGGGAAAAGGAGGAGGAGTAAGTCCAAGCCTTTTCTCCTTGAGGCTTATGATTATGTTAATAAGGTGTCTAGTGTGGAACATTCTGGCTGATATAAAGTTTTCTGTAAGTTTAAAATTCTTCTGAATTCTATCTTGGCACAAAAGGCAAAACCAAATCAAACAAACAAAACAGTCCTTCTCAAGAATATCCACCAAAGTAGCCCCAATCCTAGAGGGGAATGCAATTGTAGGGTGTTTGAGACTCAAAACAACTTTCCATACAAGCTGGAAATTTTTTCAAAGGCTTTTGTTGTCTCTTTAAAAGTCGTAAGAATTTTCTGTTCTCCATGATATGACTGGTAGAGACATAACCCATTTGTAAAATAGAAGCTGCCAATCTTGTATTTTTCTTTATTTGGAATTTTCAAAAAATCAACAGACAACACATAATGTTTGGATCTTATTATGGTATGCCAGCTATGTATTATTCTAAAATATTATCACAGAAATCTTGTTGCAATTGTGAGGCAAAACACTAAGTATTATTTCCTACTTTCCCATTTCTCTTGTTCCTAGTGTAATATGAATATTAACAGTTGACTTCACATGGTTTTACTTCTTGAGTCTATGACAATGGTTAAAAGAATATTGGGGGTGGAGGTGGAAATACAGGAAATGTAAAAGAACAATTCTGGAATTTCCTGGTTTTCCTATAGCGCAAGTCATTTATCAGAACACAACTAATTTAACTGGCTATAATTAGGTTCACTTGCCATGATGCCGCCTTAAGCATTTTGACTAAGTATTTTTAAACCGTGAATTTATATTGATACTCTGTATGGGAGTGATTTTTCAGAAAGCCATTTTACTTCTAGTATATCCCCATGGGGAAGGCCCTCAGAAGTTTCTACTTCTTCCAGCAAATGATATCCAAGAACTACAGCTCAGATCTTATGCACAAGCCCCCGGTCAGATTGATGGTTATTGCCACACCAAATTGGGAAGGTTTAAGAGAAGGGTCTCTGAAGTCAGATGCCCAAACTTGAATCCTAGTTCTAGTTAAGGGATCATAAGCATGTCACTTGACCTCTTGAAGCTGCAGTTTCCTTATGTGTGGATGTTACAAACAGGTCCTCTCTCCCAGAGGGCTATTGTGAAGGTTAAATTAGTTAGTAACTCTAAGGACTAAACCGAGCATATAGTTGAATGCTTTAGTCGCAGGCACCTTCTACATTATTTGTAGTCTTTTCTCTATTATAGAGTCCTAAAATTTTATATAAATCAAGTCCTTCTTTCAATGCAGTCAGGATGTTTATAGATAGAGGAATCTTACTGTGAATCTTCTTGTAGTGTGAACAAATCCACATTTTTAAATATGTCTGCCAAAACTGAGCTACATGCAATGTGATTTATTAAAAGTGGACTGAGCATTTTTAATTACAAGACTACGCTATACAATAGGGGATACTACAAAGATAAATAAAATGCAATTCCTTGCTCAAGGAACCCCTTATCTGGTAGAGAATCTAAAATAATGATCTCAACCTGAGATTGGTGCTCTACTGAAGGCTTAGAAAAACAACACGAGCCCTAGCTGGTTTGGCTCAGTGGATAGACGGGTGTGCAGACTGAAGGGCATGGGTTTGATTCCGGTCAAGGGCAGGTTCCTTGGTTGCAGGCTCCTCCCCGGCCTGGGCCCTGTTTGGAACTCGTGCAGGAGGCAACCAATTGATGTGTCTCTCTCACATCGATGTTTCTGTCTGTCTTTCCTTCTCTCTTCCACTCTCCCTAATAATCAATGGAAAAATATCCTCAGGTGA